AAAACTGGTGGACCAGCAAACGAGTTTCGACATTTTATAGTAAAATAACATAAATTTTTAAAAGACATTAAAGAGAATCAATGTGACAACAGAGTGTTAATAAATAAGCACAACTATGACTAAATGAGCACTTCTATTGTGTTAAAAATCATGAACAGCCAACACTTTCTGGCTGCGGTGTAACCATACACCCCTGCTCTGTATCGACACGTTCTGAGCACATTACACAACAACGGGGCTGAAGTTCAACGATGCTACGAGAGTGTAAAAACATGCCAAAAATAAATTAGATACAAAATGTGGGAGTACAGAAGTGAGTAACAATGAAATCTGTAGCTAACTGAAATGAAAAAACACGTCAGTGCTGCATGAAATTACCTCAAAATGTTACGAGAAAGCCAAATGACGTGCAAACCAACCTCTACAGTTCAAATGAATCCTAAATAAAGTTAAAATACAGATTGAAGGAGTTAAATAAGAAGAGCGTGAGGAGGAGACATCACAGAAAGCAGGGATAAGGTAAAAGAGAAAAAGCGAGCATTAAAGTGGATTCAGTTTCACAGAATCAGCAGAAAGCAAGAAAAAACAACTAGAATGGAGTGATGGCAGCGGAAGTGGGGCAAGAAAATTGATGATGGCAAAACAGCAAGACCATGATTATCTTCAGCTTCCTGGCCAAGGACAAAACAGCAGATCCAGGAAACAAAAATACATGTGTGGTTAAATCTTTTACAATATATATTGCATTGCTGAAGTAACTAAATATATAATTATTAGTGTGTAATAGTTCTAGCCATGATGTTACAAGACTTTTATATCATGACAGATTTATCAAACTATACTAGCTGAAATGCATATCTGACAACAACTTCAGGTGGTGCAGGAATAAGTTTGCTTTACAGGTGTCACATGTTTCTTTGGGGCATAAGCACTGATCAACAAAGTGTTTTAGTCATTCAGAACAAGCCAGAGGCTGTAAAACAGCCACAGAAAGAAGAAGCCACATTAAGCACACACACTTATAATTGTTCTCAGAGCAAAAGTGCTCTTCCACTGTGGGTAGACAACTAAAGTTCTGCACCCAGGGGCAGCAAGGCCAAAGTCACAGCGTTCTATGCTTTGACAAACATTTCTTTCATTACGACCAGAGTAACTGTCCTGCACCGCCTCAAGCTGCTCCATGCATTCTCCATCACTAACAACATGCATGGAAGCAGCAGAAGAAAGGATGAAAAAAACAAGTCGCTACAAAAGCAAAGAGAAAAAATGACGAAAAAAGTGATGGGAGCAAAAAAAAAAAAAAAGAGATGACATGAAGTTTTTAAGTGTAATGCAGACACTATTTGGCTATTTGTCAATAACAAAAAAAATGTATTACCGGTAATCTAAAGGACCATCTCTCCACATCTGATAGTTTCTTGGTGTCCAACCATCTGAACAAACTAGGTTGGTAAAACCAAAGATAAAAGAGGACACAGTGCTAAACTGTGGTAACCTGATCCATACGTTGAATATAATTCAATGGTAGCCCTGAACCCCAACCACTCTAAACTAAACCTTAACCTGTACTCTAATCTTAAAACCAAAAGGAAATCACTTTAAATATGTAGTGGCAGCAAATTGGCCCCATTGGCTACAAAATGTGCTAGTTTTCAGGTTTAGGGTTAAATTATACAGTGAATAAATAAACACCATCAGGCAACATAGTGTAACAATGACACTGAATATCAAAGGAATCAATGACAGAAAAGTCAAAGTATTGTACTACTTTCCTCTAACTCATTTATTATAGAAGCTCAATTGTTTTTGTGCTTGATAAAGGCATCTTAGAATTTTTTTTTTATATGAGAAAATGGAGTATCAGGAATAGTAATAAAGAATATGCATTAAAACTTTGAAATTGAACGCAGAGAATTAAAGTGGAGTACTGGAGGGGAGAAAGACAACCACAAATGAGGTGGTGCCAGTTTTTGCCATGACTTGAAGCTCCTCTGTATGAACACGAGGTGGCAACATCCAGTTCTCTCAGAACAGCCCACACTATGCTGACTAAGGGCTGGCTGATGTGTGTATGTGTGCATGTGTGTGTACCAAATCTCAATACATGTGTGCTCATATGTGATTGTGGTTGACCTTGTAAAGCTCCTGCCAACACGCAGGTTCTCCTTCTGCCTGAAATGCCATAAAGTCTGTCCTCCTTCTATGATACTAATTCATTTAACAGAGGAGCAGTATATGGACAACTGATTAGATCAAAGATTTTTTAAATAGAAGTGCTGGAGGTTGATTTTTCTTTCACATCTACTTTCACTACACCCCATGTTTCCTGTCTATTAAAAACTGCAAAATGCTAAAACAGTCAAACTGACTGATGCTTCATGCCTCCTACTTCCTCTCACTGTTGCTCACTTTCAGTGGATCCACAGCACAAATTCATAGAGAGGTGTTAATCCATGATCTTGCAGTGTTGCACTGTGCCGCAAGGAACTGCAGCAGAGAGAAGGGAAGAGCCGCCTGTACTGAAGAAGGAGAATTGATTGTGGGAGGGTTGAAGGAATGAACTCAAGCAGGGGAGAAAACAGGGAGAGGGAGAAGACGGGTGGCCACCCTGCGCTGAATCTGCTCAAGGAAAATCTCTGGGGGTCGGCCAATTAGACGCCGGTTGACACTGCCATCCTCCCAGCTAGCTCGTAAATCCTGTGCCACAAGACAATCCACGCGTCTCTGTTTAATGAAAAGACGAGCTCACTAACAAGCAAAAAAATAAACAATAAGTCCACCCAGAATAGTGAGGTTGAACAGAGGTAAACATGAACAGGTAAGTATTCTAGTGTTTTTTCTTACATTTAAATTTCCCTGGAATAGTGATAACTTCACAGTGACTTCTGGTCACAGATTGAGAGAGAAGAAAGAAAAACTATTTCTGGTGCCTACACTACACATACACTGCCTGCCCAAAAAAAAAAAAATGTTGCCACCAAAAAAAAAAAAAGGTCACATACTAATATTTCGTTGGACCACCTTTAGCTTTGATTATGACATGCATTCTCTGTGGCATTGTTTCGATGAGCTTCTGCAATGTCACAAGATCTGTTTCCTTCCAGTGTTGCATTAATTTTTCACCAAGATCTTGCATTGATGACTAGGCACTAGGCATGATGGGTGCATCACTTCACCTGCCTCTCTTCTTACCCTGATGTGCCCATCACTCTGGAACAGGGTCAGTCTGGACTCCTCAGACCACATGACCTTCTTCCATTGCTTCAGAGTCCAATCTTTATGCTCCCTAGCAAAGTGAAGCATTTTTTCCAGTTAGCCTCACTGGTTAGTGGTTTTCTTAAGGCTACACAGCTGTTCAGTCCCAAACCCTTGAGTTCCTTTCACATTGTGCATGTGGAAATGCACTTACTTTCACTATTAAACGTAGCCCTGAGTGCTACTGTTGTTTTTCTTCCATTTGATTTCACCAAACGTTTAAGTGATCACCGATCATGATCATTCAGGATTTTTTTCCGGCCACATTTCTTCCTCAAAGATGATGGGTCCCCACTATCCTTCCAGTTTTTAATGTGTTGAACAGTTCTTAACCCAATTTTAGTAGTTTCTGCAATCTCCTTAGATGTTTTCTCTGCTTAATGCCAATGATTTGATCCTTCTCAAACAGACTGACATCTTTTCCACGACCACGCGATGTGTCTTTGACATGGTTGTTTAAGAAATGAGAAGCAACTCATTGCACCAGTTGGGGTTAAATAACTTGTTGCCAGCTGAAATATAATCGTACATGCAGTAATTATCCAATAGGAGGCTCGTACCTATTTGCTTAGTTAAATCCAGGTGGCAACTTTTTTTGGGGGGGCAGGCAGTGTATATTCCAGTGTCAAACAATGATACTGGAGTGTACTAGCATTTTTTGTAATTGATTTTTACATGGTCAAGAAGGATGAACTTTAATCTCTAAGTCTAATGAATGATTATGTGTGTATTTTGTTGCAGCACTGGTTGGCCAGCTTGCCACTCTCTTTCTGTTTGACAGTTTTTTTCCTCACAGCCCAGATATGTGCATACTATTGAATTATTTTAAATGAAATATAAAGTATAAACCACAATTTTTGTCTTAGTATTAGCTGTTGGATGGATCTTTTCATTCATTGCAGCTGGACAGGGTAAATGCCTGTAAGTGTTTTCATTTGCAGCTGCAGATGTTTAATATGCAAATAAAGTTAGCCGTATGTTCTCTCTTTAAATTTATATGTGTGTCTCTGAAAATCACCTTGGAGAGTATCTCTTTTGAGCGGAATTAAACTTAAAAATACACTGAATCATAGTGCAAGAAGCTTCCCCAAAAGGAAAGGTTGTGTCCGATCAAAGGGTTTTACAAATGGCTAAGCTTTTAATGCCAGGTGAGTGGTGCTACTACACTGAGACTCCACCTGGTGAGGATTAGGTGACTAAGAAACCTCTGCAGCCCATTAAGATTTTCATAAAGAGAAAAAAATTGCTAACATTTAAGACATTCCCATGTTTTTTCCATTTTTTAAGGGCTCTGTACTGTACATTAGTGATCATTAACTGGTAGTCCATGGGGCATACCCAGTCAGGGATCTCCTCCTATCTGACCTAAAAACTTTAAAATAATTAATAAATTACACACAATATGATTAAGAAATCAGGTGCGATACAGCTCAAAAAGATTACAGCAGTGTGTCATCCAATCAGAACAGTCACTTTAACAGCACATGATTTGTTTTGTCTTACATACTTTGTGAAGGAAATGCTTGATAATTAAACATACTTTTGATGTTGAGACGTTTTCTCCAACCAAGGCTGGTTGAATGAAA